TATCTGAACTTGCTATACTTTGGCGTTCAAAACTAAAAAAGGAATTATATTTATCAATTTAAGATTTGTAACTAGCTATAGCCAGATATTACAAAAAACTTACGTAGTAATGAATGCATGTTCTCCAAAGGGATTATCAAATAATGTAGTATGAATTGCAAAAATAACTATATTATTAACATAGGTACCCTTATTCATCATTTTAACAAATTCAGGACCAAAAGCTGGATTGCACTAAACACTTTTCAATGTATCAAGAATTTTTAACGCAAACTTTGTTAAGCTTATTATTGCCTTCTTTTCAGTTTCCATCATGCGTTAATCTTTCTTGCAATCTTGGTATACTTTGTGGCATAAAATTTATTACGAATTTTACACATTCTTCTGTTATACCTTAAGGTATTATTAGGGGTACCATTTCTTCAACTGGTTTCTGGAATGAATATAATTAATTTTTAGATGGTAGAAATAATATATATTATTTTTCACTGTTGAGAAAAAGAGAGTATTAGCGAAGATACATACCATAAATTTTTTCTTTTGTTTTTTCGATAATTGAGCTACTAGTAATGAATCACTACTGATGACCTGACTAGCCAAAGGGATCTTCTAGGTTAGTTCAAAAATTGTTAATCCATTTAAAATAACTACTAATTCTTGGCAAAGTTTTGATGTTCCAGTCTAAATAATACGAATATCTTATATTAGTCTAACTTGTCAGCATGATAAAAAAAAAGATAGTCCCACCTACAGCAAGTTTTCCTTTCAACTTATTTATATTATGTTTAATCTTCTCTGAAATAAAAGGCTTCTCTTTATTCTACAAGTCAAAAGATTGTTATTAAATATATTCATATCATTTACTCTTTCTTAAAACATACCATTTTTATAACTCTAATATTCTGCAAATTACTAATACAATCAAAAGCAATATCGAACTAACATAGATATACAAATAAGTTAGATAACCGCTGATGCATCAAATGAAAATATAAATAACCGTGTGGTCATCAAAAAATAACACAAAAAAATCATTCAATACGGTCTGGCTATATGAATAAAACTTTGTGTGATATAATATTAACTACATTAAATAAGTATGGACTTCAACATAAATAACCCTTTACATCATTGAGGAAAATCCTATTGGTAGACTAATAGGGTTTTTATACTGACATACTTATCTTCTCAGAAGTATCACTATCTGCGTACTTATCATTCGATATAATATGATCATAATATTTTACCTATAAAATAGCGTACCCGTAGTATAATTTGAATAAGTTTTTCAGAACGTTCAAAATTTATACTATACGAGTTTTTTATCAAATTAACCGCTTTTTCTACAACACCTCTTAGTTCGTCTTTATTAATCCAAAGATTTTCTTCTAATCCTTGGTAAATAACAAAGCCTGCTATTAAATGTTCAGTCTTTACGCTGGTCAAATATTCTACAGTTTTTACATATAAATATTCTGAAGACATAATGATAAAAGTAGTCAAAATATAATATTAGAAGCTTACTAAGCGAAATAAAAAAAATAATGTAAAGACATAATAATTTCACTATACTACCCTTTTAAATGACTCCATTTACATTCTCTTTGGGCTTGTATTCATGTTGAGGGGAAGAGACAGGAGAATATGCAACGGACTATTACGCTGAAAGTTTGTGTTCAAGAATAAGGACATGCGAAATATGCATTAAAAATTTTAACAGTATATACTTTAATGAGGATCGAAAATATGTTAATTTATGTTATATACGCTTACATACATTGGCCTTAAAGCGCTAGAGGTATGTATATACATATTTTTTTTTTCTTTATTTCAATTACCTGACCGCTTAGTAATAAAGGTCTACTAACATTATATAAATATACTCCAGTCAAAATCTAGTAGTAATAGCCTGTAGTAATGCAACACTTTGAAAGAAATATATTCATAAATAAATGCTATTCCGATAGATAGGGAAAAAATTCAAAATATTTTAGGGATCAATTTCTTATGTGTAAAAATCAATTTGTCACACAAGCAGTTCACACAGAGTTACAGATGATTTGCGATGTATTACCTATTACATTATATATACTTTAACGAGAATCAAAAACACATTTTATTTATGTCGAACACTGTTCTCTTACATATATTGGCCTTGAGGCGCTTCGTATGATTGAACAGTATATTATTTTATTAAGACAATATTTAGAATCTGGGTCAAGGTTTGATCTGAAAAATTTAGCACACAAACTCACAATTATCATCTAAGTTTGTGAAATTCACAGTAATATCTTTTTCTCTGTAAATACGATATATGTATTTTAATGGCAAACTGCATATAGGTTTTTTCATTCCTGATGATTTACTCTTATATGCCTCGTATTCTAAAATTCTGATGAAGAATGCATAATTATATTTTTTTTTATGAATACTATTATAATATTCAGGATTCTATGGCCATTTTAACATGTCAAGCCAATATGTATCTCTAACAACCATATAGCCTTGCTGATATAATAATTTCTTAACAAATATGTGTATCACAAAAGCTAATCGTCTTATAATTGGACTCTTTTCTTATATACCCAAATAGTAGTAAAATAAATGTTATGCTGATTTTCTACATAAAATTGGTCAATCACATAATTAGATTCTATTAATTTTCTATTAATGAAATGATATGTTTTATCACAAGGAACCATACCTAAAAACTTTATATTGTCAAGAGTTCCATTATTTTTCACCATCTTCCAAACTCATTTTGCTAAAGATTCAGGTCTTTTCTTGTAACTCCTATAAGTTTGCTGGATGACTGTCGTATAGAAATTCTCAAACTGATAGTTATATTGTCTTGCAATCAAGAATTCCCAAGATCACTTCATTGATCTTCCTGAACTTCTCGAAAAATACTTTATTAAAATAGATTAGAAGATTTAACCTAGAATAGGCAGATCATACATAGTGTCTGCAGGTTACAATTTCACTAGGTGATCACTACATATAGAGTGTTATATGAGCAAAGTAAAAAAAATAAATTGATTAATTTATTGATAATTTATATATGAATATAAAATATATTATTTTAATATTAATTTTATAGTCTGAAGAATTCGTTGCATATATTCACAATTATTGTTAAAATCTGAGAAATCTATAATAGTTAACCTTCTGTTAAAAGTAGTAATATAGGAAGATTTGAACATATTAATTTTTAGTGAATTATATGGATATATTTTACCTTCCTTTTTACATTTATATCACGTGTATTCTGAAATTTTAACAAAGTTTGTAACAATATTGTTATAATAGTCTTTAGTAGTATAGTAATATCCAGGATTTTCTAGATATTTTAGCATAATAGTCTAATCACTATAACCAACAAATCTATAATCTTGCTGATACAATTTTATAAAAGTAATTATATATACTACAGTAGTTAATCGAACATATAACTGGTCTTTCTTCTTTTCTGCCCAATTATGTGGAGTATAATGATAATACAAATCATGCAAACTAGTTAGAATTCTTTGATCAAAATAGTTTACATATCGATCATCAGAAATTCTTATACTACGAGGAGTTATACCTAAATACTTCTTCTCGTCAGGAGTATTATTATTTCTCACTATATTCTAAACTTGTTTCGCCCATGTTTCGGGTTCCAACTTAAAAGCTCTTCAAGCTCATTGGATAATTTTTGCATATTAATTAATTGATATGCAGCACTTTTCTTAATTTCTTTTGAAGCACAAGAACAATAAAACTCAGAGCTTTTTCTGTATCTAAAATAAATATTACCATAAATTACATCAATCTCATCACCACTAAGCACTTTTTTACTTTTTCGTTTCCATAATATAGATCTATAATATGCGACATGCCTTTCCTCTATTTTAGCAATGTATTCATTCAGATGCTTTTCTGCGCATTTCTCGATATTATCACAGATAAATACTAAGGAATCACATGCAGTGCAATAAATATAAAATGTGCGTCTCCCAGGTCTGAATTTCTCATCTTCATATAATCTTTCTATCATATGAATATATTCATTCTTTGAGAAGAATGTTGGGTTATATTCGATAAGTTTCCTAAATGGAACACAAATACGGGAATACCACAATTTTGGCATTTCATCACTATATCTGTAATGCAGATTAGTTATCGCTTGTGTTACTACAAGATTGATAGTCAGTTCTAACCATTTTTACGATTATAAATGTTTATAGCCGATTTAGTGATTTATAGCAATTTCAACAATTTGTAGCGGTATGTAACAAGTATATGATAACAAAATATCAGATTCATTTTTATTTGATTACGTCTTCTTGTTCAAAGAACTAGATTCATAATTTTTCTCGTGATTTAGTTAAATTAGTTTTGAGCTAATGTAATAGCTAAATTATCATATGAGATCTCTCACACCAAATTCTTTATAAATTGGCATGTCATTCGAATGATTAAACGAATTCAAATGACCCTATTTTTGCTATAAAGTTTAAAGCGTTATTCATTAGATTAAATAATAATATTCTTAAATTTCGGCCAACATAGTAAATTCATCATAAGTTATTACCAAATCTGCGCATGAAATTCAGTCATAACTTAGAATTTATATTTTTTTCTGGGCCTCACCAAACATTTTAGCGCTGATAAATTTTTTGAACAGTATTATTTATAGTGGTAACCGATTCAGCGAGAACTGAACTTCCCACCTAAGTTTCATCCAGGATCATAACCCTGATTTTTCGAAGTATCTAGAACATTTCGTCACTCATCATTATCATTCATCAACTGATTTTTGCCAATTTAATATAAATACGATATGGATTAATCGAGTGGTTCATCAGTACAAACGAAAATCTTCCCACCTGAAGATATAAAAAATATAAGATTGTATACAAAATATACAAAAAGGTCTTTATTTGATATTTTACTGAAAGATTGATTTTTTGACCCTTATTTTTAACTCACGTTTTCACGTTTGCAGACACAATATCATGTTTTGCCTTGTTTTAGGTGAAATTCCCGCTCAAAGGAACCTATTTGCAGTTTCTATTACTAATGAAATTACTCTCAGTTCGCAACTCAGGAGTGCAATTTATAAGATAAAGAAAAATACCTTTACCAACGTTGACGAAAACAATCTCATATTATGGAAAGTCAATATTCCCATCAATATAGAAAATATGAGTAAACTTGACGAAGTGTCTCGTTCGTCTCATGAAGTTAATATCGGAAGAGATTTCAGAGGCGAAGAGTTGTTTCCAGCAGACAAAATTCCAGAAGACTACCGTAATCAATAACCACCTAAGGTAAAGACAATTCACATTATCGTGGAACCGCCGCTGCTCGCCACCACTAGTAAGTGTCTCCTAATGATTTACCTCTCGAACAAGAAATTTGCGTTATCTCACATCCTTTTTTAAAATTTATTTCTAACATGCAATGCTTTCTACACGAACGATCTCTCAAGTAGAGGTAGAAATTCAAGATCTACTTAAAACGTATTCTCAGGAACTAGAAAAAGTTGTGACAAAAACATATGATCCTTATTCGTATTTCAAGGCACCAGATGAACATCCTCACAAAAACATAATTGATGAAAGAAAAATTCCGATGCTTAATGATAGTCCTAATTTGCTTCTATACAATCTCCCTGGACGGAATGAAGAATTCCTTACTAGTTATGAAGATTTCTTGCGCATTGAACATAATGCTATATCTAATAGTATGATAATTATTATGGGAACCTCTGGCTGTGGCAAAACTCGCCTATGTTTGAAACTTTTATGTCGCAACTATGGCCTATACTTTGTTACTGAATCATGGAATCTTGGATCTGACAACTTAAAACTTGCAACAGAGTGGACGAAGGAAAAAATCAATGTAAAACCTGAACCTGAACCTGACGAAGCAAAAAATATTGCAGAGTGTGGAATATGGAGTTGTATCACAGGAAGATTATTTTTGCTTAACTATCTTTTTTGTATGGCTAAGGAACATAACTGTACAATGGAACCCAAATCTTGGTTAATCTTCCAGCTTAGTAATCAACTTATCAGTAAACTATCTATAAGGTTTCGAGAATCTTGTGATATGATACATCTTAAAGAATATTGTCTTAATATTATGGCAGATATTAATAGAAAACTAAAGAGCAACATCTTTCCAATAATTTATGACGAGGCCCAAATTCACACCTCATGCTTAACAAATAAATTTCCATCTTATAATAACAAAAGTATAATGAGACCATTTTTTACTGTAGCTGTTAAGACTATGTCAACTTTACGTCAGGTATGTGCGGAAGTAGTCATTTGTATAACTGGATCTGATTTATCACTATTGGAAGCAAAAGATCTAGCATCATCTAATGTGGCAAAGGAAGGATCCCTATAAGTTAAACTTTTTAGTCCTAAGTCTTAAACCTTTTGTATAATTTAATTAATTTTTTCTGTTATTCTATAATATTCCAACTTTTAGTCAATTTGGCCAAATTAAAACCTCCGAAGAAATACTTAAACTGATACATAGTATATTACTACTTGAAGAAAAATATGCGTCAATTGCAATTAGATGGCTAAAGGTATATCATTTTTCTCATGGTATTTTATCGAATTCAATTCCAGTTCTTACAATATAATTTCTAAACAGGGTCGATATCATTTTACTTGGGCATAGATACACTATCTTCTTATGTCTTATAATCCCGAAGAATAACTTAAAATACTAAAAGAACGTCTTACAACTAATTACATTATTCAACGAAATCCAAGATATAGTCTTTACTCTAGACTTGTAAGACTTATGCATCATCCTAGTGAGCGACATTCTTATATTAACCATGAGTCTATATTTGAACTTTTAAAACAAGCTATTATTTATTATACAATGACGGGAAGGCCGTATTTATATAAAAATACCAAAGAAATAGATATTATGTCTATTGGCTTTGCCCACCTCGAGACTCAAGAATTAACTGGGATCATTGATAAACCTCTTGCGATTCAAGCAGGAATCAACTATTTTAATAATACTAAAATAGACAATATGTGGTTTAATGTAATGTCACAAGTCAATTTTAATGCGAGCATGGCAGGATTTATTTGGGAGAAGTGTGTTACAAATTTATTGCATAATATTATTTTTAAAAGTAACATACCTTTATCCTCGCACAAAAAACTATTCCCTGGTAACAGTCATCGTTATCTTCCTGTTGATTTTGTGAATTCACTTGAGCTATTACCATCTGGTAAAAATCGTGTAGGCGTGATATCTGTAGAACTTTCTGCATCTGAAGAATATATTAAGTGGCTTCATATAGTGTCATCATGGAAGAAGACTGGAAATGTTTCTGATGGGTTTTGCCCAATATGTTATTCATCAAACACAGCAGGCCCTGATATCTCAATTGCTTTTTTCTTTCTGAAAGGAGAAAAAAGAGAAGCTTATATTCTAAATACTCAGGTCAAGTTAAGAAATAATGTTAAGTTAAAGAAGGCATGTAAAACTGTTGATCTGAATACAATGTTTACAGACAAAAACTCGAATCCCAATCCTTTTCAGTTTTATAATAAATTGCATGAAATCTATGAATGACAAAAATGGAGTAACCACAACATACAAATGATTGTCGCCTATCCTTGTCATTTTAAAAGAAAAAGGGATTATCAAAAACACACGATGCATCAAAAAGGATAAGATACCAAGATTGATTATTGATGAAAATAATGCAGACATATTGATTTCTAATGATTGTCAAAATTGGATTAAAGTTTTAAAACAAGAACAGGGATCTGAAGTTGATTGGGAATGTAGTGATATTGAAATTTCTGAGGGTGAAGAATAGTTTTAAAAAATAACAAAGTATTAATTCTTACATTTACATTTTCATTTTTTCGAATATATTATTCATATGTTTAATATTAAAGTGAAAAATTTGTAAACAATAAAATGAATGTATTATCAAATGTTTATTTTTTAAGTCTATCTAATAATTTCTAACTAATTCTGACACCAAAATTTCATTCCTATATGCCATTATTTTTAACCAATTCTCACCTAAATATTCTAAGAAAAATTAAGTAAAAAAACAAATACTTCTTTCGCTTTCATAACACTCCACTTCATAT